AAATCGTCAAATTCAGCTAAATCAACATTCCAGACCATTTTGGTCGACTCATAAGAAGCATATTTCTATAAGTCTTTTTATCTTTGCTTTCAATTTGTGCCTCTACTGTCTATTTGGTGGAGACACACTTTTTATTGTTTGATTTCGACTCTTTAATGACTACTTCTAGACCCAACTTTAGTTCAATTATTTTTAACCTCAACAGCTTTCTTTTCCAATGAAAATCTATCAATCACTATATGTTGATCACCACCTAAGTCGTATAAGGCGTATGTTAGAATGATTATGAAGAAACTCAATTGCATGATAAAATTAGAAAGCTCAAGCCTTTATAGTTCTAATGATGATGAATAGTTTAGCTACAAGGAGGAACATTACAACTGCTATCGCTATCATCTTTTTGGTCTATTGGTTAATAAAGTGATATTGATGATAATGTGAGCTGAAGCTAGAGTGTCTATATCTAAAACTTTATTATGATATCATTCATAAAACGTTTGAGGTAATACATAACCATAACATTATAGGTTGGCGATGTAGTATCACACTATTACATCTTGATTGGATGCTCGTGAAATGAAATTGTGTCCCTTTCATTTCTATAAAGCATGTTTATTTTTTGGTCCTTAGTTAACAAACATGTAAATCATTCACTCTTGGACCTTATTCGAGAAATGACATCGTTTTGCTATTGTAATGACAAATAAAGAAATTACATTACATCTCAAACAAATAATATGTCACTTCAAAAGTCCCAATTTGTTGTAAGCAAGGAAAAGAGAAAGCTTCACGTCGCTCCACAACCCCTCAATTCCTTATTTCCTTAATGTTTTTTAGCACCAGATAACAAAGTTGAAGAATGGGTGGCAATATCGATCACAACTCAATTATTATGAATTTATTAGTACAAGGTATTGAAGTCGCAAGACATTTTCGAGAGTGCAGATAGATATGTAATGATATCTTTGACAATAGTTCTATTGGTGACAATATTGTTCAATATTTAAATGATGACATGAGTTAAATGTATCAATTGGAGGAAATTTATCATTGATTGAGCTGTCTACCTATCAACAAAATATTCAACTCCTAAGTTTGTTGAGTTATACATTCATCAATAGAGAAATAAGTTGAAAGTCAACTTCAGTTCGATCATTACATAAAATAATTTGTTGCCACCAGGTTGAAAGAAATGTTACATGCTCTAATATTTGTCCCAAATATTTAGGTGGCAAAATTAACGAAAAATGAAGAACAACTTCTGAAGTTGAAAACTGTTGGTCAATCAAGATCTATAATCGTGAAACTAATCTTCAATCGTATATGGTATTGACGTGACACCTATATGAATGCTACATTAGCAGTAGTCAAATAAAGTTTGACTGGTATTTCATCTACTATTAATTCTTACATGCCAACAACAAAATGAGTACATAAATTATTCAAAAGTCAAAACACATAATTCCGAACACTCTAGTCATCTGAGAAGTTCTCACTTGACATTTTTTTTATAGTTTGCATTTTGTAGTGGTGTTAGCTATGGTTGTCATGTTGGTGGCAATATCGATCAGTACAATTAGGTTCAACCAATATTTTGTTACAAAATCGGATGGAATGCCTCTGGTATGACCAACATTATTGTTTTTTCACATTTAAATAATATGACTTCATTTTGGTGAATTTAAGTTAAAAAATAGTTTTTCATTTGTTTCTTGAATACAAAAAATAAATATTGGTGTTATTTGTTAGATTCAAGTATATATGCATGTTTATATGTAGGGTTGGAAGTTTGGTATCGGTATTTGGGATATACCGGATACCGTACCGAACTTGTCTATATTTGGTATTACCGAATACACGTATTATTTCTTGGGATTGGGATTGAGATTCAATTTCAATTGTTATTCGGTATTAGGGGATTACGGGATTGGGATCGGTATATACAGAAATACCGAACAATACCGAAATATAATCTAGAGTTTATTTTATCCTCTCAACTAGTCTCTCTCATTCACTACTACACGACCCTCAACCACCAATCTCTTGTTATTTTTATAACACCAAAAAGCAAACACTAGTATTAGTCTTCTATCAGCCTCCAATTTGTCAAATTAAAGATTACCAATGACAAAAACTTGAAATATCACCTCTCTTCCATTCTCCTTATCCATATCATAGCTCTAGCTAAACTCAAGACTCTTTGCTTAGTCTTTTTGTCCTATATTAAACAATAAAATCTAATTTATATATTTAATTATTAATTAAAAAGGTAATTAATTTCGTATTCGATAGTACCGATTGGGATACCAAAATATTTAGGGATTGGGATTGGGATACCGAAATTATTTAGGGATTGAGATTGGGATTGATTTTAGTGTGTAATTCGGTATTCGGGATTTCGGTATTTGGTATTATTGGGATAGCGATACTGTACCGATTTGCACCCCAATTTATATGTGTATGTTATTCGTTGGATTCAAGTATAAAATTTTGGATGTTGATGTTAAATATGTTTATTGTTGCATTTTATTTAAATATAGATGTAGATTTTAGAGATATTTTTTTAAATATGTTTTATATATGTCTAAATTCTTTGGGTATGCCTATGGTGACTTGCAAGTCACCGTAACTTGGAGAAAATAGTCTACCTCTTTCATTAAGTAGTCGACCACTTTCCAAGAAAATGGTTGACGTCTTCCACCAAGTGGTCTAACACTTGAGTCATCTGGTCTACCACTTCCGAAAATAGGTCGACTTGATGACACACTTACCTTCAAGTGGTCGACCTCTTCCACCAAGTGGTCTACCACTCGAGTCAACCGGTCTACCACTTCTGGAAATGGGTCAACTTGATGACACAATTACCTTTAAGTGGTCGACTTCTTCCACCAAGTGGTCAACCACTTTCCAAGAAAATGGTTTACCACTTCCACCAAGCGGTCTACCACTTGAGGCAACTAGTCTACCGCTTCTCGCAATATGATGACCTATGAAACATACCTTCAACTTACACTGCTTATTGGTGGATTTAGATCGCTTCCGCCAAAACAGCCTACCGATTCCACAAAATGGTTTACGTACCTCTTTCGGCGAATGATCTCCTCTTTTGGCGAACATTCAACCATATGACACAATTACCTTATACTTACATTAGGAAAATAATGAAAAATAATAGACCAACAATATAAAATTGTTTTGTAGTAACACAACATCCTATCACCTGTTGGCAACCAAATCCCTACGAAGATTATACGCCAAGACAAAAAGAAACACTCTCTTTTAACAACGTTGAAGATGACACAATTGTATAACAATATACTCTACCTTTTGAGCATCTTCATAACAACAATAGCAACAAAGTTGATCCACCACAAGAGAACTATAGGATAGAAACAAGAAAACTTAGATTTTGAAGGAAAGATGAAAGTCAAATATAAGAAATAAATATGCTAAACATTTTTCAAATCTACAGGAGAACAATCACTCGAAAAACTTGTCATCTATGCTTGCAGCCTTTGTAATAATTTTAATTCTCTTACTAGGAAGCATATCTATTGTTATTGGACTCTAATTATATATGATGATATCACTAGCAATGGTTCATCAGGTGGACCAATTATTGAAAGAGGTGGACCGTTTGGGGAAAGAGTAGGGATGACAATGAGTCGAGTTGGGGCGGGTTTTACCAAACCCAAACCTATGGGTTTATCCGCCAAAAAAAACCCGGGGTAAAACCCGTTGGGTTTGAAAAACTCAAACCTATCCAACCCGCTGGGTATCCGCGGGTTTTTGTGGGCGGACGATCAAGCGGACCAGAGGAGGAGCAGGGGTCAGGGGGAGGCCGAGCAGAAGCGGACCAGGATTTCGGCGGGTGGCGGGAATGGAGTTGGGACGGGAGGGCTGCTGTCGGCGAGTCTCTAAACTGGAGATGGAGTCTCGCGATTCAGAGCGAGTTTTGAGTCGACTGTCGGTGAGAGGCAGAGCCATGACCCGCGGAGGCGCATAGTAGAGGAGGAGTAGGGGGAGACCGGCGAGACAAGACTTGAGTGAGTCTAGGTGGGTGAGCAGAAGCGAAGCATAGGAGGAGCAGGGGGAGGGTCGCGGGACGAGACTCGGATCTTGTCGGGTGGCGACCGTGGGGAATGGAGTCGGGATGGGAGGCCGGGAATGGAGTCAGGGAGGGAGGCGCGGAGCAGAGGAGGAGCAGGGGGAGGGCGCCGCCGCGGTGGGAGATGGAGTCTCGCGAGCGAATTGTAATTCAGAGAGGGAGAGGATGGAAGATGCGGCGATCTGGGTTTCTGGGAGTTGGGGTGAAATTGGGAAATGAGTGTTAGATTGTTTGTTAGGGTTATTGTGTGTGGTCGGGTATCCACGGGTCGGGTACTCCCAAATTCGAACCCGACCCAACCCGTTCAACAGGACATCGGGTTTAAACTCGAACTCGGCCCAAACCCGATCAACAAGGATTTTACCCGCTTTGACCGGGTTGGGTCGGGCCGGGTACCCGCGGGTCCGAGTTTCACTGACATCCCTAAGAAAGAGGTAGACCACGTGATGGAAGTGGTAGACCATTTTTTTGTATAGTGGACGACATTTTAGTGGAAGAGATTGACCGTTTGTTGAACATAGCAAAATGGAAAATAGTACATCTGGTCCACCATTCCAACAATGAGTTCGACCATTTTGTCCAAATAGGTCGACCATATCAGTGAAGAGGTTGACCGTTTTGTCCAAATAGGTCAACCATTTCAGTAGACAAGTCGATCGTTTTGTCTGAATCACGGTAACTTGCAAATCACAGTAGCAAAGTCCAAAATTTTCTTATTAATGATTTTCTACTTCCTTACATATTTTGTTGAACGGGCAAAGGATAAATTAGTTGAACCACCAATTGGACCATGAAACCGCACAAGGAATAAACCGGACAACATGGTGTCAAGCCCTTGAAAAATTTATAAATATGAATATGATATTTCATTTCCTGAGTGTTTCCCGTGCTGGTTCTCCGACCTCCAACTCCAAGACGGCACTCCCGCCCCCTCAGACCACTCGCTACATACAGAGACGAGACAGCCAAAAACCGCCTCTCTCTCGTTGTCTTCTTCCTCCCTCCAATTCCCCCCCTCTTTCTCCCTCCAAAACCCTAAAACAGTTTCACTGGACTGAAAATCCCAGAAATGCCGCCATCGCTGCCCTCCGTCGAGCTCCCTCCTCCTCCTCCTCCTCCTCCTCGCACGGTGGACCGCCGGATCTGGCAATCCTGTGCTGGTTCCTTTGTCCAAATCCCCTCCGTCAATTCTAGGGTCTACTATTTCCCTCAGGGCCACCTCGAGCAGTCTTCTTCTTCGTCTTCATCGCCTTCTCCTTTCCCTCCTTCCATCTCCTCTCTCGTCCTCTCCCGCCCTATGATCCTCTGCCGCATTTCCTCCGTTCAGTTCCTCGCCGATCCTGTCACCGACGAGGTCTACGCCAAGCTCCACCTCCTCCCTCTCGATCATCCTTCTTCTTGTTCCTCTTCCCTCGGCGCGCCTTTGCCTCTCTTCCAACATCCCGAGGAAGACAGGATTATGGCCTACGCCAAGGTTCTAACCGCTTCCGATGCTAATAACGGCGGGGGATTCTCCGTCCCGAGGTTCTGTGCCGACTCCATATTCCCGCCGTTGAACTACGAAGCCGACCCTCCCGTCCAAACCCTAACCGTCACGGACGTCCACGGGACCCGCTGGGACTTCCGCCACATCTACCGGGGGACTCCCCGTCGCCACTTGCTCACGACTGGATGGAGCAAGTTTGTGAACAACAAGAAGCTGATCGCCGGCGACTCCGTCATATTCATGAGGAGCGCGCAGGGCGAGATGTTCATCGGAGTTCGCAGGTCGGCCAGGTTTAGCAATGCTGCCAATTTCGCCAGGTGGCGCGAGCATTTTGGTACCGGGGAGGAGGCCAAAGTCAAGCTCAAGGAGGACGGTGGCGCCAGGACCAGTGCCAGAGGGATGCTGACACATGAAGCCGTTGCAGAGGCGACGGAGCTGGCTGCACGGGGTTTGCCGTTTGAAGCTGTGTATTACCCTAGATCATGGTCGTTTTCGGATTTCGTGGTCAGTGCTGATGTCGTCGAGGCTGCTCTCGGTATGTTTTGGTCCGCCGGGACCAGAGTTAAGATGGCCGTCGAATCAGAAGACCTGTCAAGGGCTACATGGTTTCAAGGCACAGTTGCTTCAGCTGTGGTTCCAGGTTGCGGGCCATGGCAGGGATCTCCTTGGAGAATGCTTCAGGTGTGGATATGTCGTATGTGTACATTGATCTGTTTCTAATTATCCTGCTCTTTGTAGTCTGAATGTGGAGATTCTGTTGTCATTTTGATTGTCATCTGAATGATTCGTAAATTGACGCTAGTGTTTGGGCATTTTGTGGTCAGCACCTGAAATGCTGCTAAGGGAGGTAAGAGTCTACAGTTTCTTTAGTAGTTTGTTACATGGTAAGGTAGTAGGTTCGTGAGTAAATATAACCTTGCTCCAGCCGATACTCTAAGTCCTGTAATATAGCCTGACATACCTAGTGTTCATTCACCATTGGTGCGATAAGAACTTAAGAAGGTTTAGTCTAAGTTTACTGGTGTAGTGTTCTTTTATCAATATAGATTTCTGGTCAAGTAAAGTATATCTAAGATGGATAGGCTAGGTGCTGATTGTTGAATCAGCAGCCAGACTGAGAATTCAGATTCGATGATGGTGATTCTATGTCAGGATTGGCCATTTTTGGTGTTAACTAAGTCATGCATAACTATCAATGTGGGTCTTGGTGACTTATACTCTGCTGCTGACACTTCCAATTTACTCAGCGTGGGATGTTCCGTTCTGTCAGAAAAGATAAGGGTGTTGGGAGCTGGTAGTATTACATGGAAATTGATAGTAAACTATATTTTGTTTCCTATAGCTGGCTGGTCTATGTTAGGGTATTAATCAAACAGGTGTTGCATGTTATGTTTGCCAGCATATTTTCTTTTGGTGAGTGTTGTCCATTTTGCGCTGTGTCAATAGAGAGTGAGGACTAATGCAGTAAAGAAACCCTAACCCGTATCCCTAGAAGAAAAAGAAAACAAGAACTCCATAGCGTCATGATGCTGAAAGAGTGGGGATCTAATTGCTGGGCTATGACATTTATGTCAAACTAATTACTGTTGGCGGATACCTTTGCTTTTGTTGTGTTTATTTTGATATCAAGTTGAGCATTATGAGATTATGGCCATGGAAACCATGAGGTGGAGCTCACACAGATGGCTCTGTTCTTTTTTCGGTTGGAAATGAATGAATCATCTTGTTTGTGATTGTTAGTATCCTTTTATTTTACAGTAGCTGTTTATATTATTTTATTGAAATTTGGAATCTGGTAGAGAATTGTAAGGTTTGGCTCTGTTCTTCTAAATATTTAATTCTTTGGTACCAAGGTCATGCTGCAGCTAGAGTAGAGACAAATCATCTTGTTTGTGATTGTTAGTATACTCTTGTCTTACAGTGGCTGTTTATAATTGGATTAGGTAGAGACTTGTAAGGTTTGAGTCGGTAATGCTCAATGTCTAATCCTTTTACCAAGGTCATGCTACAGCTAGAGCACAAAATAAACTTTTCTGGAATATTCTGTCATTCCTAGTTGTTCTTGTATGCCTTTGCCCTTTGGCTTTATTTTCTTCTTTAATTCTTATGCCTTTATGTGAGGCACCTATCTATCTACATTTTGAGAACGAAGACTTCCTTATTCCAGTATTCGATTGAGAGACTATACTGAGCTCTTGTCTGGTCCCTCAAGTTAGTCCCATTAAATATTTTTGGAAGTTTTGGATTGTTTTTGTTTTGTGCTCTCAATGTGTTAGAAGATTCTTCATTCTTCTCTGTGTGCAATCTGCTCTCTCTCTCTCTTTTCTCCTACTCACAAACCTTCCGTAATACAGATTAAGTGGGATGAACCTGAAGTTCTACAGAGTGCGCAGAGAATCAGCCCTTGGCAAGTGACATTTGTTTCAACAAATTCATCTTTCCAATCTGGGATTCCGGCACCAAAGAAATTGAGATATCCAGACAAGTCCGAGTTGCTGATGGATGATGGAGAGGGAGATCTCCGCTTTCCTATGTCAGGACTAGCTAATTCAACAATGGGTCCACCATTGTTGAATTTCAACAATTTTCCTGCTGGCATGCAGGGAGCCAGGCAAAATGATACATTTCCCACCTTTGGTTTATCCAACTGCGTGACTGAAAATAGTGGTCTTCAGATATCTGGCGCAACTACTTCTTTCACAAATGTTATGATGCCTAAGGTTGGGAGCTTGTCAACTGAGCTGAACATTGGTAGCTCACAATCTGACAACTTATCACCAGACAGTCACAGTAGCATGCAGTCTTTTGGCACTGAAATTTTGGGTAATCAAGGCTGCACTTCTGCAAATTGTGGCACTATTAGCTCATTTCAGCTATTTGGTCAAATCATTCATTTCAATCAGCCAGTTGAAAGAAGTTCTGATGATGTAAGCTGCATGGAAGATCAAAATGCTGAAGACTGCACCAAAGATGGTCAGAGTGTTAACCATCTCCTCGACCTGTCATTGGCTTCCTCTTACACTGAACTTCTCAGTCGGATAGATGTCCAGTACCAAAGAAGTGGAGCTGTTGACGCATATGAACGAGTCATCGTGTAATTGATGTCAAGCCGCCATATGAGTAGCTGTACAGGTGAAGTTTGTTTCCTACTTCAGTCGTCTTATATCACATTGAATCTACACTGGTTCCGCACATAGTTAATAAATAACGCTCGTTAACTGGAGGACTATAATCTAAGCTGTTTTTTTTTTAAATCTTTTGGTTCTTTACACTGTTCTTTTGTCCCCTGATTCACCAAAATCCGAGGCACAATTGCAGGCCATAACTAGGGCATTTGAGCATTTGTCATTTTCTTTTTAGTATCGTGTAGATTGTCAAGTTACTTCTTCCATACCTCTGAATCCATGCGTTGGAGTATGATGGATGGAACTCTCTTGTTGTAAGTGATTGGTCTCGTTGTTAACGTCACAATCTTTTATCAGAATCATCAGCTAGGTTTTATATGTGTGTTTTCGTTGAGGCTAATGCGCATGGGCTTTTTAACTGCTTGGTTCTCCTATTACTTGTCTTGCTAATGCCACCATTCTTATGAACTCACTATGGCAGGTATGATTGATCCAGCGGGCGGGCAGGCAGGCAGGCACTACCTCTGGCAGTAGTAACTGGTGTACGAACGGGGACTCCAAGCTTTCGCTTCCTTTTCTTTTTCGACCCTAATCGATCCACTAGCTGTATGCAGACACTTTGAGGGACTGATACATTTGCTTAACTACAGTTGGATACAGCAGGTTATGCGTGTTTGTTTGTTCAAAACAGGAAGTAGTATTGTGTTGTTGGTCTGTTTATTGATGTGGTTCCTTTGTACAAGTGCTGCCTCCCCTTTCGTTTATCAGACTTTTCTCTCGAAAGGAGGACGAGGTCGAGAGGGTTAAACACAAACCCTTCTATCATGTTGGCTGAATTTTACTCTTTTTCTAGTCTGGCACATTGAGGATGAAGAAGGATTTGGATTGCTTAAAATTTAGAGCTGCAAATCAGGTGGGAAGGAAGCCTTTTTCTGCATACCAAAATCAGTGTTGCACGATATGGCGCCAAACCAGGTCACAAGGGCCTTCGGACAGCCGAGTGTCGGTACCTGAACTCGATATGGTTTTAATATTCTATCCGATTATCGATTATTGTGTGAGTACTGAGTATGGATAAAATCTCTGAACTATTTTAAGTAGAGTGAAATCCACCCCAATCCTGGTCCGTTCACATTTGATGGGAAAGTGACTTAGAAATTTTGTTAGCAAGTGTAAACTCACCTGATTGCTCTATCATAAATCATAGTACAGTAACTATTTAGTTAATGACCCCAAAATCAAGTGACCATTTATGTAATTGTCCACTATTGGAGGACATTGCTATTCGTCGCCCTAAAAATGTGAATTTATCGCCCTAAAACACATGAAACTACACATTTATCCTTAAACCAATTACCATCCTCTGTTCTCAATCCAACCACTGACAACAGCACTTCCCAACTCCCAACTCCTCTCTCGTAGCCGACCTCTGCGGAGGAAGGTGAGGAAGAAGCAATCGGCGACGTCCACATCCTCTTCCTCTTCCTCTTCCACCTGCCACCTCTGCCTAATTATGAACTCCTAATTATACCCAGAGGACATCATTAAGCTTGATTTTGTCCTCGTCCCTCAACCCAATTACCACTTCAAATCTCATCTCCTAAGTCCTAATTATACCCAGAGGACATGATTAAGCTTGGTTTTCTCCTCGTCCCTCACCGTCACAACATTGTGACACGGGAATTCCTCCGATCAATTTCAGATTCTGGAGCTGTTCGGGAGCTGCGACGATGAGTTTAGCCCTGTAATCGTTGGCCTGTTTGGCAATTTCGGAGCTTGTGTTAATGGGATTGGCAGGAGCGAGAATCATGCCGATGGACATGATGGCGATGCAGATAGTTGGGTACAGGATCGAGTTCGGGGACAGGAGAAGCACAACGTCGCCCTTTTGGATTCCGACGGCGGAGCGGAGGTCGGCGGCAAGGGATGTGATTGGGGCGAGGGTTCTATTTTCTTACTATTAAAATCAGGGATAAAATTGTCCGTTTGGTATGATTTAGGGCGAAAAAATTTAAATTTTTGGGCGATGAATAGCGATTCAGTTGGAGTATTGGACATGATTTGCCGCCACATATCGTAATTTGGGGAAGAGAAAATTTATGTGGAATGGGAATTTCTTGGGGAACGAAATAGAAAAAAAAAATGGAACAAGAAACAGAAACAAACGGAAGGAGGAGATTCAGTGAGATTCTTTCAAAATCAAAAGAAACAAAAATGAATAAATGACTGAATTATATACAGCATTTCCTTTTTCTTGACGCCTTCGACCTCCAAATTCAGTCAGCCCAAGAATCTGTTCCTTAAGCAAGTAAGCAACCCTCTCCTGGAAAATCCGCCTCCTAATTCGCGATTTCCAGAGGTTGGACGAAAGAGGAAGAAGATCTGTGGCTGTAAACTATGAGCAATTTGCGAACACTCTGCAGCAGGCCGACCCACAGTCTCTTCACCTCCTTCATCCGTTGCGGCAGGCACAAGCCTCGCTCCAGAGTTAGGGTTTCCTTCCGAAGCCGCGATTCCAAGCTGCCGAATCCATTATCTTCATCGTCGTCGTCGTCGTGTTCTTCCTTCTCTCCCTGGCTCCATGGTCATCATAACAACGATCCCTGGTCCCGTGCGAAGCAGAAGAGAACCGTCGTCAAGGCGTCTGATTGGGTGGACGAGATATCTCCTTACGAAACCCTCGGTAAAATTTCCCAGCTCACCGGCTTGTAGTTATAATCGGCCGGCAGAGCAATCGGAATTCCTTGTTTTTTGTTTATGTTTTTGAAACTGGGATTTCCCCATATTTGCGCTTGGTAGAGTTGGAAGGGGATGCAGATGAAGAGCAAATTAAGGTGGCTTACAGACGCTTGGCGAAGTTCTACCACCCAGATGGTTTGCTCTCCTCTTCACTCCGTTGCTGCTGCTTTGCTTCGTTTTGATATTGGAATTTCTGTTGTGAATGATGGTTTGGATGCATGTGTAATGTTATTTTTAAGTCTATAACGGGAGAGGGACACTGGGGGAAGGTGAAACGGCTGAAGCTAGGTTCATCAAGATTCAAGCTGCGTATGAGTTGCTCATGGACCGGGACAAGAGAAGGCAGTATGATATGGATAACAGGGTCAATCCTATGAAGGTAATTCAGCGCTTCGTCGACACGAATTTGAGTTTCGTTGTTGCAGTAAGAGGAAAGCCTTACAGTTGAAGAATTCTGCTTCCTGAAAGTGAATGGAGTTTAGTTACCAGAGGCAATCAGTTGGGAATCCAGCCTAATATAAAAGGGCGTAGTCAGTTAGTCACTGATTGCTACATAATGGATTTGCTTTGATGAGCTGTTTATTAAGTGAATTTTGTTGCCTTGCTGCTGACTACCAGGCATCACAAGCATGGATGGACTGGCTGATTAAGAAGCGAAAAGCTTTTGATCAACGCGGGGATATGGCAATCACGACGTGGGCTGAACAGCAGCAGCGTGAAATAAATCTTCGTGTGAGGCAGCTTTCTCGTTCGAAGGTATGCATCTTTATGTTCTAGAATTTCTTCATGTTGCTACCTCGCTGATAGAGCATCGACATCTCAGCTTAAGGAAGGTATTAGGTAAACAGTTGGTAACCATATGGTGAAGATATTCTCTTAGGGGTTTGTGTGGATGTATGAAGCGATGTTGGGATTGGGTTTGAATTCTCCCTGCTGAAGGATTTTGGTAATTCTTCCGTATGGATGACCAGAAATGGATGCTAAAGGCCCCAAATCTCTCTTACGAAATCTGTCTATGGAGTCCACGAGAGGAAGGACTTGTTATGTAAACTTAAATTAGCTTTGTGGGACTTCATTTCACAATTACTTCTCTTCGCGCATCATTGATTCTAGACAACATTTTCAACATCTCAACATACAATTACACATCCAAACGATCCCCGGCTTTTCTGCTTGCAGAAATATTTTTTTATGTTACTTGGTCTGATTGTGTTCATGAGTTTAGATTGATCCAGATGAAGAGCGACGTATCTTGGCGAAGGAGAAGAAGGCATCTGCAGAATACTTCAACACGACAATGAAGCGGCACACGCTCATCTTGAAGAAACGGGACCTGATGAGGAAGGGAGCAGAGGAAGAGAAGAAAAGGCTTATCAGCAAGCTTCTAGCTGCAGAAGGCCTCGAGCTGGACACGGACAATGATGGTGGACAGAAGTAGCTAAGTTTATTCGAATGTGCTGAAGATTAACAAAGTTCAACACTTTTAGAGTACATGTTGATATCATCACTTATACAAGGTTGGGCCTCAGAATGTGTACAAATTGTAAAATCAGAAAAGAAAGGTGAATAGAAGCAGCAATGGATGAATGTACAGTACAAATGTACAATGTATTGTTACCTCTTTAAGTGAAGAAATGATTCATCTCCTTTTGAATCTCTTTCACCACCAACAGGCAAAGTGAGAATTTCCAGAGAGGAAAGATCGGGAAAACGAAGCTCAACCAATTTCCTTACCTTTTCCATAAAATTAAAACCTCGGGTGCTTGAAATTTGAAAACACGCCTTGCGTTCACGATGTGGTTTTAGTCTATCAGCATTGTTACTCGATTAAGCTAGCACCAAATATCCCTTTTTGTACCACCAATTACACCACCATTCGTGGTACATAGTACGTGCAACTTCTACATTAAACATAATGTTAAGTAGAATTCCAAGCGAATCATTCCTATTTTGATGTATTTATTTAACATCATTTAGTCGTTTCTTTGTTATTATTGATGCCAATGAGGCGGGGCGGGACGGGTTCTTTAACAATGTGCACTAAGCGCGAGTCATGTTGGGTAATAGTTGTGTCACGTTTGAGTACGGATCAAGGATCAAGGAAGGTCGATCCATACCTTTATATTATTTGAAGAGAATGTTTACTTTTAACTATAAATCAAAGAAAAAAGCAGTTTATAAATGAAAATGAAAATAAAAATAATAGGTAGATTTATTAGGTTCAATTAGTTGAAAGGTGAAGTGTTGCACTTATCTAAAATATCATTGGGTGAAAATATGAGTTAAGATATTGTCGGTGGAGGCAAGGTGCTTCCACCACTGTCACCGCGGAAGACAGAAAACTTTAAGTAGGGTGTCCATTCGGGTTCGGTTTTTTGGGTTACTCGAAACCGACCCGATTAAGGACATTTTCGATTTTCGGGTTCGGGGTTTCAGGTTTTTCGATTTCGGGTTCAGTTTTGCTTATCGGTCAACCCGTATTCTTAGGTGTTCAAGTTCCTGTTTTACTTTAAACGAACCTGATAAAGAATTTTCGAGTTTCGGGTAACCAAAAACTGAAAGTCATTATCAAGTTGGGATTCGGTTTTCAGTGATTTCAAAATTTTCAGGTTTTGGTTCGGGTAACCAAACCCGACCCAAACGGACACCCCTAACGCTGAGGATGTAGGCCGAGAGGAACAGAGACCGCCGGCGTACATCTCCGAGCAATTTTTATATGTATTTTTACTTTTTTAGAATTAAAAGTAACCTAGAAATTATCAAGCAACATATTTTCCAAATAGTATCACTCTGACTTCATACAGTAGAATTCAAGAGGCCACAAATTCCAAGATGAAGAAAATTGCTTCCCACAGAACTCCAGTAAGCAGCAACTAACTAATCAAAAAAACTGGCGACGAGTAAACAAGAAAAGCTAACCAAACAGACCCTCTTAACGTCCCAGAAACAATAAAAACTAATTGTTTTCCCGCCGGGGAGTGAATGCTGAAATGAAATCAATCGTCTCTGGCGAAAAAATTGCATCCGCTTCTCCCACAAAAATGCAGTTGCAACCATCACATGCCGCAACTAGACATTCAGTAGCAAATAAGGAAAACCCTAACGACGTCCATTACCTCGTCTATACCCGGACCGCGGCCTAAGAGCCGCCCTTCCGAACAGCCATCTGTGGAAGCTGCTCCCTGCTGGAACTGCACGACTACCACCAGCACCTGCCGAACCCACACGATGGAAGACCCCATGCCTATCGTCCTCATCAAACGATCCGTAGTCCAGATCGTACTCCTCATCATAATGCATCACCCCACGATTCCCCAGAGGAAACAGCTCATCATCATCGTCTTCATCGAGAGACTCATCGGACTCATAGTCGTCGGAATCATAGATTCCTCCTCCATGATGGCGACCTGGTGGCTCGATCACATAGTCCCCAAGCACCATTGCTCCAGGCGTTGACGACAAGATTGTGCTTATAACGTCGCTGCGCTCTCTCTCGCGCTCGAGCGCCTTCCATTTCTCTTTGAGCACGGGGTCCACATCCCGGGGGCAGCATCCCAAAGGGTGGTTCGCCTTAGTGTGCTTCTTCAGCTGTCTGTAGGATCCGAAGAACGAGCAGCTATCAAGCATGCAAGCTCGCTTCTTGCGGTTTAAGTACTTGCGAGCCGCTTCCACTACCGTCCAGCCTTTGACCTGTCCTCGACACAGTGGGCACAGAAGCTCTGGAACTTTGGAACTTAAATTACCGTCTCCTAAAGCTGTTGCTTTTGTGTATGCTTTCTTGTATTGCTGAAGGCAGTTGGAGAAGCATCGACCGGTGGCACACATGTAGGGACGACAGCCCTTGTTGTATGAAGAACAGAGGAGAAGGACCGCGTTGTGAGGGTATTCCAGACATACTGAACAGGTTGCACCTTCCCAATCATTTTTTACTTTATGCTCTTTCAATGAGGTCCTCCCTTGTTTTTTGATGGCCTTCCTAGGATAATTGGAGTATGGATAAAGGGAAGAAACCTTGTGGTACTTGGAAGAATCAGTCATGTTGGGGGCCTTCTTGTCTTTCGTCATTGATTTGTGAGACTGAAACAGTGGAGAATTAAGTCATCAGGGGAAAGCATTAGCTAGCAAAGGAGGGAGGAGCTCAATGGAAATAGCACTAACAGCAGCTTCAGTCAAGCTTTTGACAGGGTAAGATAAACATAGCAACGAAATCTATCATAGCAACCACCACATGTCAGGCTGGGCAATAAAGTAATCCAGGATTCAAGAAAGCTGCGATGACATCACTAAACTTGTTCAGTTTTGGTTCATGAATAAGGAAGCAGTACGTATACAGAGCTAAGTGAGATCAAATATAAAACAGAAACATAATCTAAAGAGCCATATTTTCAGAAGCCAACTAAATTACAAAAATTCATTTGCATAACTTCTGTGTATGTTCTGGTCAGAAAGCAGACCAAAAAGATAAATGCTACTTATTCAGAACAAATGGATTGCCTCGAGATACTTCAGATAAGTAATTTGCAAAAACAGGTTGCAGGGTGTTTTAAACATAAGCTTAGATGGTTTTCCAATTAACATAAGGAAATAAGTAAAAGTATTATGAACTAAGACCTGCACTTAACCGTAATCAAACAGAAAAATTGAAAAGGGTGTCTCGATCAAGAAACAGTTCAACAGATCATAATATATAAAAACACAGATGTGTCGTGTCCCTTTTCAAGTTCCACTGTTGCCAGCACAACAGCTGACAATAGAATTCAAATGAAGGTAGCCGCATGAACTAAACCCCATGTGCACTTCCGGAAAATAGTAAAGCAGAGTAGCAAGAGATGTTTCACGAACAAAGAGCAACGACCTCCAACTATTGTATCAGGAACTTGTCAAAGCATGAGACAAATTTCCTTCATCATAATTGCTATAGCTAGCCTATTTCTAACTTACAGCATAGTGAAATGGGACAAGGGCATCATATGATAAAGCCTTAAGAAGCAAAATAGAAACTAAGCTAATGAGCCTAATTTGAAAGAATAATAAGGGCAAATACAATATATTAGCCATAACTATTATAGCAGCGGGGAATTATAGCCACAACTATCGAAATACAAATTATTAGCCAATCGTTAAGTTTTCGTTAACACTTCTGTTAGTAATGGTTAGCCATAATAACACAAATCATGAAACTTGAGCAAATTATAGCATTCCCATCATTCAATTACAAATATATATATATTAAAACTCATCATAGGGCCCGTTTTGCAAGCCAAGTACACAGCGTAAACAGTAATTACTTTAGTGAACCAATCCTTTACCACACTCAGGATTCACTGGTTTAAAAAACCTTAACTAGATTTTCTGAATCAAAAGACAGCCCAGAAACATGCGAAGGAGATGGCTCAACCATTAACCAATCAAGCAGAAACATACATTTTCAAAGCTAACGTGACAATTATTTAACAATCCAAAAATACTGGAAAACCCCAAAAAAGCATTTCGCCGACTGCTATTTGAGTCGAGCGCTTCATTACAACATGAATGAGCAAAGAAGACTGGCACTCTGACAAAAAAAAAATCTTAAAATTCTATATTTGTCAGAGATTCATAGGATAGTCCAATAATTCCATGCTTGGTACACAAACAGAACAAGACTTATGCATCAAAAAGCAACCCAGAAAAATGTAGGGGATGTCACAACCAATCAAGCAGAGCAAACAGCTTCATAACTTGCATGAAAAGTATAGAACAATATCTAAAAGTACTGGAAAATACAAAACAAGTACTTCATCCACTGAGCTTTTGGGCAAGCACTATATCACTATACCAACAGCAAAGAAGCCGTCGTTCACCGACAAACCAAAGACTGCTTAAACCTCTATGTGTGTCGTAGAATCATAGGACATTCCATTTTCACCATGCTTCCCTACAAAAAGTGAAGTATGAAGAAATTTCCACAACAGACCCTTCCAAACCTTATCCTCAAGGAAGTGAAAACTGCACTACTTCTGGCATGGAAATTACGTAGAAGCTTTTGTTGCACCTGGAAACTAACTAAAGCCACTAATCAGAGGTTTGTCTACCTTCAAGAAGATTTGCATGAATATTATACAATTTTAGGTCCTCTAACCAATCCATCAGTCCAAGAGAGAACTTCCAGCAACACTCTGAATATCTCCACCAACAAAGCAAATCGTATTGAACAAAACTCAGGCTTCGTCCCATAGTTAAACACAAAAGAGGGCTTATACCTATATGTCCTACTAAGAAGCCTCCATGAGTAAGTGCAAGAGAGAGAACCCGACTCGCTTAATCTAAACAACATCAACAGATATATCCCAACGAAATTCTGCACCCCATTTCCCAAAACATAAACGAGCAATAAACTTCCACAATTCAAATATAACCAGTTCAAAGCACCGATAAGGGAAGTGACAATACCTGAGTGTTTGCACAGAAAAAACGGACGGGAAAAAAGTAAGCAACGATGGCGATTCCCGGTTCCCAACAGGATCTTCGATTCTTACCCCTCGCACAGCGTCTTCCTTCTCCAGCCAGCGAGTGCCACCTCTCTTCCCCTCTCAATCTTTCTTTCTCTGCTACTCTTCTTGTCTAGTGCGACGAAGCCCGATTCCCTACGATCCAGTTGCTCGCCTCCGCTCTTTTGTAATCCAGCGCCACCGCCCTATGCTTCTTTCACTCTGCGGCGACGGCCAATCGACGTCACCGGAAACCCTCGGGTGGCGGAGTAGACGGCAACAGGAGAAACGATCCAATCCAGTCGCCTTCCCCCAACCCCTCACTTCTCTCGGTCTCTCCGTTCGATCCTTGCACTCGGTTCTTGGAGGGTTTCTTTAAGTTCGCGTTATAAGCAACCAGCAAAACGGCGGCGAAACTCAATAAAACGCGACACTTTCTTCTTTGACTACCAAAATTTAATTTTAATGGAGTTTTTCCCGATTAAATCTCACGATATTTTTTCTTCGAGATCCCGTTTAATTGAAGCGTAGGCTCGGTCCGTTGGACGGAAGAATTTTGTCGAGAAATATGATATATAATAATGGATATAATAGATGATTTGAGATGCATGAAATGATTGTTTTCTACCTTAGTTATGCATATAACATTTTTGAAAGTGATCCAACTACACATAATGTGTTTAGACATTCATGAAAATAGAAAAAAATATAATATAATTATTGAATGAAAAAATTAATATAACTAATTATCATTCCTTGCTTAATTAAACCATATAGTTGAATATTAGAGTTGCTTCTCATAATACATACATAATCAACCTTTAGGATGAAAGAAAATATCTCATAAAGTTTAGTATGTCCTTTAAGATTTTCCCAATAGAAAGCATTTTTTTTACCACACTGTTGGTAATGAATATGAAGTTGCTTGATTTAAAATATATAGGACATGAAACTAAGTTGTCGCTAATAGTTGTGTTGTGTACGGACTTCCCAAATTATTCTCAGATCGCATAGATGTCTAGTAACAAATAACAATGTAGTAAATTTCATGCAGCAAATATTTTTTTTCGTGAAATAATTCAACAAATAAAAACGTATGAAAATAATATTACATGAAATATATGTTACTCATTAAGTTGATGAATGAGCAAGGGTATGAGTAGCATACATTTATTTTAACCGTTTCATATTGCTAATTATCACCTATCGATTTAGCCTATGATGTGAAGTTTTATGGCCTAACCGCCAGTATGTACGATCTTTCAATACAAACTTTAAATAAAAAACACTAAAAATTTGGCATTATCAAATACCCTTAAATCTCATAAATTACAATAATCGTATTAAGGAAAAAAATCCTCCAAATGATAATATTGATTTATGATTTTAAATTGAAATTTAAAAAATATGTCAAATAGAATGTCATCTTCTAAAATAAAGCAATACTCATTACTCAACAGAATAGAGCAAAAAATATCCACTAATCAAAGCATAAAGACAATTAGTTCACACTACCTCATTTTTCTCCTCTTTTAAATGTGTCCTCTCACTCTCTCTTTGCCTTCCTCTTTGTTTTTCCATTTGTTCTTTCATCTCTCTCTCAGCTTTGTATCTCACCACTACACCCTTTTCCCTTCCTCTTTCTTTTCACTGCTTGAAATCGAGAGAAACCTAGAAACATCCCAACTACTTCTCCATTTTTGCGTTCAAAATGCTTCTTCTCCATTCACAGTCGTTAGTGTAAATCGGAACACCTGAAACCTGGCGAACAGATGATCGCTTATTCATCGACGGAGCAAAATCGCTTAATAACTTTTAAATAAACTAATTATTAAAAGTGATAAAAAGCATAACTCATTAAACCGATCGAGTGAGTGTATAGTTAGCTCATCGCTTAAAGCCTTAAATCATTGTATTTATCTAAAGAATCAAAATGCATAATCAGGTTCATCTTCACTTTACATGTATTTGTCATACAAATTCATTACACATAAAAAATGGTTTTGAACCGACGACATATCAAACTAAATCTTATCTTATGATTATTGGATCTATGTCAGATTAGCAAAAGGTCTAAGGCTATTGGTTAACGGGGTTGGTAATACTAATTTAAGAATTGTATATCACTTCCAAAATGTTCAATACTCCAATTCAATATGCAATATTCAGTATTCAAACAAATGATATATGAGTTTCAACCCTTCCTCAAATTTTTTAGACAACCCCCCCTCCCTCACACACATTTGCAAAGACATACTAAATCCCAATTTCTTCTTCATTTTACTTGCTTCTAAAGTTATTGTTAACGTTGTTTGTTATTACTGCAAGCTGTAAAAAATACTTTTCAACTATGAA